GCGAACGCTGGGTACGGCCGACATACCTGGCTCCACACAAGCAGGTGAATTGATAAATACACATTGATGAGGCCAACAGTGGTAGCTTATCCTTCACGTTCACATGAATCATAGGTTTTGTGGAGAAAGTTAGTCGTAGTTCAGCTGCGAAGAAGGTCTTCTTGAGTGAGCGCGACAGCCGATTTTTTAGTGTTTCCGCAGATATATCTCCATTGAATTGAAGGTTCATGTAGAGTGGTTTCTTCGGGACGCTAAGCATGGGCGGCTTTTGTGGTCTAGGATTCATAGATTTTGCAATAAATCGTTCTGGGTAACAATTCTCAACGAGGATTCTCTTAAGATTTTCCAGTTCATCTTCTACGGTGTCTGGGGTACAAATTCTGCGAACTCTGTAGCTGAGTGAACGGATCAGGTTTCGTTTGGTGTATAGGGGTACCCAACTGTGAAAGTTAATAAGCTGTCCGTTCCATGTTGACTTTCTGTAGATAGATCTTTTCAGTGTTCCATCCTGTTCTCGTCTTGTTAGTTGGACGTCAAGAAAGGATATTTTAGAGTTGAACACTTTCTCCAGCGTGAACTGAATTGCGGGGTGGCAGTTGTTAAACGACTTCAGGATGTCGTCTAGATTCTCTTCATTGTTGACGATAACGAAAGTGTCGTCGACGTTTCTCTTGTAGATTCCGAAGGTATCGATCATTTTCTTCATGCATGTGTTTTCGGGTTTTACCATGAAGAAATCTGCAAGTAATGGGCCTAGTGGTGAGCCCTTAGCTATACCATCCTTTTGGCGATATATTTCGTTGTTGAAAGAGAATTGAACATTCAGGGTACACCTCAGCAGGAGTTCTTTAAGACGCTCGGTGGGTATACCGATGTTTATTCCCTTGGAATGAATAAGTTCGCATATATAGCATATTGTTTCAGTCAGTGGAACACTTGTGAATAGTGATGTGACATCTAATGAGATCATGGTCCTATTGGATACGTTGATGTTTTCGATTGAGTCGATAAAGTCGAATTAATCTCTAACTGTGTGGCAGGAAACTTGTCTTCTAATTGGTTCTAGCAGATCTGCTAGCCATTGGGCTGTGCGGTGATAAGGCGAATTGGTCATATCGAGGATCGGTCGAAGAGGCATACCGTTCTTGTGTACTTTCGGAAGTCCGTAGAGTCGTGGTATATTTGAACCGGATGGTCTTAGGGATTCGAATGTTTCGTTGCTGATGAGAGATTCAGCCTTTAGCTTACGGAGGGTGTCAGTTAGCTTTTGTTTGGTCTGTTCAGTCATGTTTTTCTCGTTAATCGGTTTTGTGAATTTACATTCATCGGATAGTATAGTCAGCATCTTACTGATATAGACCTTGCGATTCATGATTACGATTCCTCCGCCTTATAAGGAGCTGTAAGAACTTATGATAAACGAAGAGATTATGATATTACGTCCTTATAAGGCGGAGGAATCGTAATCATGAATCGCAAGGTATATATCAGTAAGATGCTGACTATACTATCCGATGAATGTAAATTCACAAAACCGATTAACGAGAAAAACATGACTGAACAGACCAAACAAAAGCTAACTGACACCCTCCGTAAGCTAAAGGCTGAATCTCTCATCAGCAACGAAACATTCGAATCCCTAAGACCATCCGGTTCAAATATACCACGACTCTACGGACTTCCGAAAGTACACAAGAAGGGTATGCCTCTTCGACCGATCCTCGATATGACCAATTCGCCTTATCACCGCACAGCCCAATGGCTAGCAGATCTGCTAGAACCAATTAGAAGACAAGTTTCCTGCCACACAGTTAGAGATTAATTCGACTTTATCGACTCAATCGAAAACATCAACGTATCCAATAGGACCATGATCTCATTAGATGTCACATCACTATTCACAAGTGTTCCACTGACTGAAACAATATGCTATATATGCGAACTTATTCATTCCAAGGGAATAAACATCGGTATACCCACCGAGCGTCTTAAAGAACTCCTGCTGAGGTGTACCCTGAATGTTCAATTCTCTTTCAACAACGAAATATATCGCCAAAAGGATGGTATAGCTAAGGGCTCACCACTAGGCCCATTACTTGCAGATTTCTTCATGGTAAAACCCGAAAACACATGCATGAAGAAAATGATCGATACCTTCGGAATCTACAAGAGAAACGTCGACGACACTTTCGTTATCGTCAACAATGAAGAGAATCTAGACGACATCCTGAAGTCGTTTAACAACTGCCACCCCGCAATTCAGTTCACGCTGGAGAAAGTGTTCAACTCTAAAATATCCTTTCTTGACGTCCAACTAACAAGACGAGAACAGGATGGGACACTGAAAAGATCTATCTACAGAAAGTCAACATGGAACGGACAGCTTATTAACTTTCACAGTTGGGTACCCCTATACACCAAACGAAACCTGATCCGTTCACTCAGCTACAGAGTTCGCAGAATTTGTACCCCAGACACCGTAGAAGATGAACTGGAAAATCTTAAGAGAATCCTCGTTGAGAATTGTTACCCAGAACGATTTATTGCAAAATCTATGAATCCTAGACCACAAAAGCCGCCCATGCTTAGCGTCCCGAAGAAACCACTCTACATGAACCTTCAATTCAATGGAGATATATCTGCGGAAACACTAAAAAATCGGCTGTCACGCTCACTCAAGAAGACCTTCTTCGCAGCTGAACTACGACTAACTTTCTCCACAAAACCTATGATTCATGTGAACGTGAAGGATAAGCTACCACTGTTGGCCTCATCAATGTGTATTTATCAATTCACCTGCTTGTGTGGAGCCAGGTATGTCGGCCGTACCCAGCGTTCGCTTTCCAAGCGTATCACCGTACACTTACCAACATGGTTTTACAAAGGAGAAAAACGATGTCCCTGCAGCTCCATCTTAGAACATCTGATAGAATCCAGACACCAAGCTGCACCCCAAACAAACTTCAAAGTAGTCTACAGAGTAAGAAGTAGTCTTCCTAAAGGTGTACGAATCAGTCTTCTTCAAACTGCAGAAGCAATGGCGATTCACTTGCTAAGCCCTGAACTCTGCATACGGAAGAAGTTCGTTCAATCACTACACTTACAATGGACTTAATCTATCCTATTACCTCAAAAGTAAATTCTATCTAATCTTTTTTTTCTGTTTCTTCATTAGTATTATTTTGTCTTTTTAATTGTAATATTTTGCATTTTCAACTCTCTTTTTCTCTACCCCTACCCGATTTAATTTCTATACCTCACTACCACAGTTATTGACCTGAGCAACGCTCAATTTCTAGTCATTTATGTTACGTCATCCAATTTAATTGCTCAATTTCAGTTCTAATTTAAATGGCATTATTATCTACCCCACTTCTACTTAGTCTCTACCTGTAATTACCTCTGTTGCTACCCTGACCTAAGTTGAAACATTGTAGTCAATTATATTATGTCATCTAACTCAATCTTACTTTAGTTGCTGTGTAATTAACCTTGTTTCTATATTAGATCATTCTTTTATTATCTGATCAATTATCTAAACTTGACAAACCTCCTGTACACACACAACACAAATAATTATATATAAATGGGCTTGTACAGCTATGTGAATGAATTCGCCGAAAAGAGTCTCTTCGCTGATGTTTTCTCTTTCTCAAAATTAATTGAAGTAACTGATCATGAAAAGGTAAACTGGTCTTATTATGGTTGGAATAGTTTGGCGACTACCCCTTTCTGATTGTAGAATTTGCATTTTAACTGTCGAATAGCTTCGGCTTCCAGGATACTTAGTACATTGGTGCTTTGTTTTACATTAGTTGTCTTAATTGGTTTTATAATATTCCATTTTGTGACCACACACCTAGTAAATTTACGACTTTCTGGTACCAGTGCGTCGGTTGTTCAGTAATATAACACTCGCCAACCACGCCACACATGTCCCAGAGTTAAATCCCCTGCCAACGCACCCCTAAACTTGCCTAGTCGGAACAAGAAGAAGAACAAGTTTCGGATTTTCAACACCAATGTTAAGTTAGTTTGTTCTTCTTTATGGCTCAGAGACTTCGCTCAAGCGTCATCAATAACATTTCCTACAGACTTCACACTTTCATCAACACCTGCCTTCGCTGGCGCTATATTGAAGATCAGATAGCAAGTCAGAAAGAACTAGTAACAAGAAATTCTAGGAACGAACCAATCAGGAACCCACTGCTCAACAGATATTCCGACGAAAGTTGAGATGAATAGGACACACAGTGAGGAGACCGTTGGATGACATCGCAAGCATGACTCCAGTGGAACCCGAATTGGAAATAACGAGTTGAACATGGGTCCGAGGGGGGCATGGAGGAGATTGTACGTGGAGGAAATGAGAGCTTATGGGCGGTTGTTGGGCCAGCTAGAGAAGAGTGTGGAGAACAGGACCGAATGGGGATATGCTGTTGAAGCACTGTGATCTACTTGGAATCCAAGACAAAAATAATAATACATTTTCGATTGGTACTCAAACTGCTGTTGTTCATTACTCGAAGGGAACGATGAAATTATATCACTGACTTTCACTTAAGATGGAGCAGTGCTGCTTCATGTGAGACACCGTCGACTAGTATTTTACTTGAAGATCCCAGATAAGGTGAAAACACTAAGCAATGAATGAAGCGCGTCAAGAATTCTGTACATTATGTAAACATTTTGTTCAGAAGAGAGCCATTATTACACTAAGACGACAGAGGCGACTTTCAGACTTTACCACAGAACGGAAACAATTTCTTTTAATTATGAATAATAAAATATTTGGACTGTGATGCAATAAATGTGACATCACTAATAACGGTAAAAAGTCAAGCTGACTAATAGCTTTGTGAAATAGCCCAGTGAACAAAGAGATCTGAATCTCATGATCGTAGTCATGACATAATTCCTACTGCTCAAATGAGTACTTATATTCAGTATTTTATTGAACATTTTTTTCTTCAGATATGCTATTCCTACTTTTATTTTAGGGAATCAGAATACCTATTCAATATGATAGCTCTATTGGGAGAATTCTTCTTGTTCATGTTCCACTTACATGGAAGAAGTCCATTAGATATTTACCTTCACTTACTTCTAGCTGGAATGATTGTATTAGCTGTTGGAATATCATTGGCAGAATTAATGGCACCTCGTGAACCTGTCTATGGTTTAATGCGTTGTTGGACTTATCTTATGCAAGGGACCTGGTTTTGGCAAGTAAGTAATTAGTTTAACTTTTTTTTCCGTAGTTTGTTTTTTTGTGTGAGATTCCTTTATCTATCTGCTTTTACTCTTAACTACATTTAACTGATCAAATCTCTATGTTTGCCCATGAAGTGAAGAATTTCCCATCAATAAACGGTCGGGCAACTGATTTTTTCTTGCTTTGTAGCTAACTATAGCCAGATAAAACACAGGCCCCCGGAAACTGTTTATACGATGTGCTTTTATTCATTTCATCATACTTTTAATTTATAAACCTATAAATACACTATTATGGCGGTCAAGTTCATCATTTGCAATTTACACATTCCAATGTGAGAATTCAACACAGTTAGCTTAGAAGATATTAATTATTCAGAAGACTGTGTGTGATATGCATGATACTATAAATGGAGATTGAGACATCAAGCAAAACAGCATGATGTAAGATACGAATTTATATTCAGTTAATACATCATTATACACTGTCATGCTTAATAGTGACAGCAATGATGAATATGTTCGCCTTCTGAAAATGAAGTCAGTGTGAGATTTCAAGCTGTGCTGTGGTGGTCCAATGGTAGAATGCTCGCCAGTTAAGCAAGTGGTCCGCCTTCGATTCTTGGCCGACGCACCCTTAAGTCTCGCTCAGTTTATTGACCGATAGTAAGCACAGTTTTGTGTTCACTATTGTTCAGCATCATGAGAAAATAAATGAAGCTACATCCCTCTTATTGTAACCAGAATATATGAAGCCGATTTCAAATGTTAGATTTCGTTAAGAACCAACATCAGTTAGAGACATCATTGAAAACTAAGAAGAATAGGACTGCTGTTACATCCTACATTGAACCAATTCAGCAGTGCGCAACCATGACCCCACCAAAGGTCAAACCCAAGACCTTCAGGTTACGAGAACAAGCTGGCTGACTATTCAGTCACTTCAGCAGGATTTCAGTGACCCTACTTTGCAATAATCTCTCTTATTGGCGTCAGTTCGTGGCAAAATCTAATCTTCTCCATGTCACCCTCGGACCCCTTCCCAACTCGTTATTTCTAATTCGGGTTCAGCTCAACGGTCTCCTCAGTATGTGTCCGATCCATTTCCATTTTCTTTAACATGTTTTTTGAGCAATAGGTTCTTGGTTTTTTCGTTCCTAGAGTTTCTTGAAGCTAAATCTTTCTGGCCAGCTATCCGATCTCCTGTATGGAACCAGAGAAGACAGTTATTGAATAAATTCCTCAGCCTGTTGTAAATGATTTTTGTGACTCACCAAAGCAACTAAAATTAAATCAGTGCAAATCTCTGTAAATCCCCTAATCTAGATAATGAAGCTTTTTATCATTTGATACTAAAATATAAATAAATTAAAATAAAGTTCTTTATAACGCACAAAAGTATCACATTACATATCTCAATGCATTAAATTACCTGATTTCTTTCTATAATTAGGATTAGAAGGCTGCATTGGTTACGATAGCTTGACAAATTTCGATAGTTAAGGTTAGTTTCTGGTTAGAGTTGTCTATTGTTTCTACTAATTTTTGTCTGCGCTGTGAGGGAGATGTCTTTCCTCATAGGTAAGCGATAAAAATATAATAAAGCAGAACAGTACGTTAAGATGAACAGATTTGTTGTAGTACACCATCTCGAAGTAGATGGTTTTAGAAGGCTGCTGTAATGCAGTGTTTACATATGATAAAAGCTCTGGATAAAATTTACATTTCCAGTCAGAATATTCAGTCTGGTAGTGATTTCGTTAGATTTATTCATTCAGTATGATTTATCCTTTTCTTTTCTGACTGATATGCTGACTGGACTAGTATTAAAAAGGTATAATTCCAATAAAGCCTACATTTGAAAATTAATCTAGCGCTTACTGGTGATTGACTACAGAATAAAGTTGCTTGATACTTCAATAGGACCCACTGAGTTGGGCGTGAGGTCAGATACTGATTGATGATAATCGTTGGTTGTCGCGTTCTTGATAGCGAAATGATAGAAGTTAGAATTTATGGGCCATTAAATCCTGTCCCAGAGGCTGAGTGTGCAATCTGAAAGTCTTGGGTTCGATTTTTGGTGGTTGGGTAATGGATGGGAAGAAACAGCTGTCTGTTATCCTCTGGGTTTTAATGGCTCTCTAGGTGAAGTCAGTTAGTGTTGAGACTTAAGACCTCAAAGCATTTCGGAATACTATCAGCTTCGGTCTTAAGCAAGTATACAGGTTAGTAGTCATACTCTCTCAGTTGAAATTGAGAATGATTTAAAACAGCCTAATCCTACATTGCTCTTATTTTTAACGATAAGAGAGTTGGAAAAGTGAAGAAAAAAGTAAGAAATACCAGGAGAAAGACAAATAGTGTGAATAAAAATTAGGTCTTCAAGTGTTGGTTTGTAGGGATTTGATTGGTCACAGGATTTTCATCATGAGCTGACATTGGTTAGAGAACTATTGGGAAACCTGGGAGTACTGGACAGCTGTTTCGTCCTAGTTTGGGACTCTTCATCAGTACGCACCCACCGGGATTTGAACCCAGAACCTTCTGGTTACAAGGTGAGCTCGTATACCATTAAGCCACTGGGACCCGTTCCAATGGCCCACGAATTCTAACTTCTGCCATTTCACGACATAGCGCGACCCCAGCCAATGTCTTCGGAGAGCATTTGTCCTCACACCCCACCTGCTGCACCCCACTAGTCACGAATTCTCACTAGAACTCCAGGTAAACTCCAGGTAACTACCTACCTGAATAGGGCCAGTTGCTAGTGAGCATCTCATTGATATTCAAGTGTTGTTTTGTAGGGATCTGATTGGTTACAGGATTTTCATCATGAGCTGAGGTCATCAAGAAAACTGAATACTGTTTCTTTCCTTGGATAGGAATATGAACTCTTCAGCAGAAAGACACGTGATTTTGAATGTCTTAAAAACTGCTTGTTATTCTACTTATTCATAGTTCAATACAAACTTTATTGACACTAATATTATTACTGAACTTAAACAATATTTAACCTGACTTCTCAGGATTCCTTTAGGAATAAATGATAACCAATGAAAGCCCTGTGTGTTTCCACATGGGATAATAGACATCTTTCCGCATACTCTTCGCCACGAATAAATAATATTGCATATTTATATATGTATATATTTTTAGTGTATGAGTATATCGATCGATTGATTTTTGTTTAAAATTAACTCTGTGCAAGTATGTTAAAATTGTTGTTGTAGATATATTTAATAATGTCTTTGCCATGTAAGCAGCTGACGAGAAGGCAACGAAATAAAAGATGGTACCATTTTATTCTGCTAAAACTGTAGTTCTTGCTTTGTTCAAATTCACTAAGGGGAATAAATGTATGAAATAAATACTTCCACAGAGAAATATGAATTGGCGGGCGTAGGTGGGTGTACCAAGATACACCAACCTATCTGTCGACCAGCTAGCCTGTTACCACAATAAAATATTTATGAGTAAAAATTCTTCGGCATGCGTAAGTTATGTCTTTAATTCAAGTTAAGTGATGGATTTACATTAATAAGAGAATCACTTAGAACCAGAAAGTATTGGACAGCTATGTCGTCCTATTTTGAAGCTCTTCATCAGTAAACTCATAGACCCACCACCAAGTCTTGAACTCAGGAACAACAGATTACGACGCAAGCCCATTGAACACCAAACTACTGGGAAGGAATTCCATAACTAAAATGTTGGCTTCTGTCATTTCACGATTTCATGCCACATGATAACTTTGTCAGGAGTCCTAGTGAGAAGTCATTACCAGGGGGTGCACCAAGTAGGGTGTTAGAACAAATAATCACCGGTGACATTGGCTAGTGATGGGGCTATATATCATGAACTGCTACCAGATTCCATCCCAGTTGACTATTTGTCGAAATGTTAGCCTCATAAGCTAACGGTAGTGGATTCGATCCTCGGGTGCATGCCGTGAAGACTCCTGAACTCGTACAAAACAGATGTCCAGTACTTCCTTGTTTCCAACAATCCTGTAAATAATTTCTATCCATGATTCAATCTAAAATCAATTAAATCCTTGCAAACTAACATTCGGAAAGTAATATACTCAATTATTTAATGTTCATTTTCTGGAAAACATAGATATAACCATATTACTAGTGAATGTTATGTACAGTTAGATGACTTTCACACACAATATAGGTGAAATGTAAAAAGCACCAGTGAAAATGATGTGTGTTTAGATAAATTTTTCAGCGTCCAATGTCGATGCTTAGTTTAGTTGTCTTAATCATAATGTAAATTAGATTTATTGATTTTCTACAGCATATATATATATATATATATATATATATGAAACTGAGTCAGTAGTGAACGTATAATAAATGAACTAGTTGTCTTCATCCAGAAATAAGGTTAACATAAACAGAATGATAAAGAAAACAAAGAACAACAATAGTCATAACAATAGTAACCTGTTGCTAAGGTGATATGTGAACTCAAGCATATACTAACTATTCAGTTATTGATCAATGAATAGAAAAGAATGTTGTTAAAATTTCTTTATATTTTAATTTAGTACTCTTATTTCAAAAGACAGTCAACTGGCTAATCAATGCTAAATGTAGTCACCGAAGATTTTATTGTTTAAATAAACTGGTAGTGAAGGTCACTGAAATGGTTTGGATGACATTTTTGATTAATTCGGACAAAAGTGAGCATCGAGAAATGGTTATTTCACTTCTGTGACGGTCACATTCCCGATTTACAGGAAGTGGTCGCGTTTTATTCACAGGAATCTAACAGATATCTGGGCAGTGTTAGGCACCAAATAGATGTTAACATACAAGTGACTTTGCTCCCCTAGCGTATCCCCTACTCAACCCAAAACTATCTTTAAACAACTCTAGTATCGCACTAATTAGACTAACCTTACCCTAACAAGTTCCCAGCCTAAACCTAACCTTAATCTTTCCCTAGCCAAACCCAAAACTAATCACATACACCTCATTCAACGATTTTTTCAAGAATAATGAGTT